TAATTTAGCAGTTAAACTTAATGAATTTAGATCTTAATATGTTCAGACGCATTTGATAACAAAAAATTAAACATCTAAATTAATCAAGTGATACTGAATTTTCTAAACAATACTCGCTCTAAAAAATAAGTGATAAGCTATTCATCTAACACTTAATGTGATATATACTCAAATATATCAAATTGGATACTTAACAATTCAATAATTTAATGGATTCAAACTTTAAATTACAGATTTTAGACTGCAGTTTTATCAAATGCACCCTTAGTCTATAAACAATCCTCAAAATATAAGCTAGTAGTGGTGGAATATCCAAACTATAGATAAGTGTAGGGATATGTAGGACAAACATGTAGGATGTATACGTTGCTTTCTCTTTATAATAGATATTGACAATGAAGTTGAACAGATAGTAAGCAGGGTGGAATAATTCCATGGTGGGAGGATCCACTTAGTATAATGTGCTTAACTTACTCAAAGTTACAATTAATTAAGCAGAAAAGATAGTCCATATATTTGTGTTTTCTTTGTATATATGTTTGAAAAGCAACTAATGCAGTAAACAGAAACATAAATTAATTTTATGAGAGAATAAACTGGGTATCAATTTAAATTTTAAACATCATATCAAGATGGTCATCACTAATTGTAGAATATGTCAAAATGGCAAAAAGGTGACACAATCTAGCTGATGATGTTCTCAAGAAAATTGTGTTTATTCAACAAAATGGCTAAAGTCAAGGAGCTAATTTCTATTATTTTTCTGATGACCAGAGGTGAAAGAAAAAGTAGAAAAGAAAAAGTCCAATCCATAGCGCTAATAATACCGGTCATAAGCTGATGAACTGATACATAATTAGTGTTAAATTCATTGATAAGTAGGTTTACAATTAGAAATGATTTACTATTAATACCCTTTACTAGATATATCAAATTTACAGAGCAGGTAGATTGTCAGCTTTCCATTTGGAAATTTCTTGCGAGGCCATCGTAAATAATTTAAGGGTTTTTCTAACGGGTGCTCTTAGTGCATTTGTTAACACAACGAGCATTCACCTAACCTATCATATACATATACATATTAATAATTATTGTCCTATCTTGTATCTATATATTTTCCCTATTTAATCTTGTTTACCTTTCCTTATATTTATTTACTTTTCCTAATTAACCTTATATTTTAAAAAATATAACATTTGAAATATATTTTAACGAGTGCCCTATGACACCCATCAGGCAAACCAATAATTTAACTAGCCTTCTTATGTATTTTTATTTCCCAATCTCTCAAAAAATGGTGTACCAAGTGAAAGCTCAAAAGTTGTACTTTTCCCACTCGTAAGGGGATCATATACAATGATCTGAAGTATTTTTCAAGACAATCAAGTGGGATGTTTTCAAAGACGTACATGTATTGTTGGTACTAGAAATATGATAGTCACAAAAAGTGACACGTTTGTACAACATCAACTGAACTTGTGTTAGAGCAACAAAGTGGTATGTTTCCACTTACAATGTACATTTTTTGATGCCAGAATTTGTATGTTGAATGTAGTATTTGTCGTGGACATGAGGATTTGGTCTGTTAAGGGACTAAATGTTACTATATGGTAGTGTCTGCTTTGCCGTTGGCGTTTATGGAAATTTTTTTATTGGGCACTAATACACAAATTTTGTATGATTACTGGTAATAATTGAACAAATAGTTTTTTTTTTTTGGTTGCCTGCCACGGTATCCAGGGCTTTGCCCTGACTAATCCGTTGGTCGACTCGGGTCGCACACCTGGCTGTGGTGGGTGAGTCTCCCAACAAGAATAGCTGCATACGCCAGGTTTCGAAATAATTGAACAAATAGTTGAATAGCCAAAAGTATACTTTCAGAGTAATATATTTGCCCATGTGTTTGGACAGGAGATTATTTGTTCAAATATATTTACTTACATCACCATTACAATTTCCAATGCATCTTTTTATCTTCCAAATTACCTTTTTATCTCACATACATCACATTACAAAAAGTGCTACAGTAAAAATATCTCAAATAATTTACAATCCAAACACAGAGTTTTCTATCTGTGCTTGTTGACATATTAAATCAAACTTAAAAAGTAGAATTTTCTATGTTATTATTTAGTAGTAGTACGTTCAAGTTTTTACTAATTTATTGGAGTCAAATTATGGTAATTTTATTATTTAAAAATTGGTATTTTATTAGGTAATTTTTTACGCATTCTTTACCAAATCATCTCGTCTATAAATAGGAAATCTTATTATTATTTCAGTTAAGAAGAATGAAAGTTTAATAGGCTTGTCCTTATGGTGCTATTAATATTATATTACTTACTCTACTCGCCTTCTTCCACACGTACTTTTATGCGTGTAAATTACATCCCTATATAGATTGATTCTATGAAATTTATCTCATATAGCTTTTTTGATGGAATTTTATGGATTCTACGATATTACCTTGTATAAAATAAGATGATGTCTGGTCCAATGGGTTTTACCATTTCTTGATTGAAATGACTCTTAGCTTTAAAGGGTACGAGTAGCTCTCAACAAGTTTGTGATATAGGATCAGGATTCTTGTAGCCAATGGTCCATGCTTGCCATTTCAAAAGACCCTTGTCATTAACATGATGGTATCATTTTCCTTGAATTAATCAATCATAGTTTAACAGGTGAACTAAATTGGAAACATTTGGCAACACAAATGGAAGGGAATTACGTGAAAGATACTTCAATCCCTACCATTGGAAGGTATGAACAATTCTATCTGAAGACTAGAAAGAAGGAGAGAGTAGGGAACAAGAAGGGATTGAATAGGTGTGTAAATCTATGATGATTGATTGAGTAAAGAAAAATAGATGCTTGCCATTTGTTATGCAAAGCTGGCCAACTAGATAACTAGTTGTCGAAGTATATTCCTTGTCATAAATAATGCTTTAATTAAACCTCAACAACTAAAGATAACAATAATAATAATATCTCTGGACTCATTATCTGTTCTATCTCCTTGTTGGCTTCCAAGAAAGGTTCAAAACCTCTGATTCATGGCGTTCAAAAATTTTCAGATTTGTGGGCACATATAAAAACTGTTGTCCTCCGCATTTCAGTGAAGTAGAATCCACCAACTCTTCTCATATATATATATATATATATATCATGCATAAATCTAAAAGTGAAAGGAATTGATCAATGAAGGAAGGTACGTGTTGGAGGTCAATGCAATAACCTGTTTATAAGCTTCAAAAGCTCTTGAAATATACATTTGACGTTTGGGTTTCTTTAGTTGAAAAATACATTTGTTTTTGGTGGAATTTGGTATCATAATTTAGTGTTAAAATGTTTCTACAAATGGCTGGCAGTTGTGCTTTGCAAGTTTGTGTCGGGATGTTTCTTTATAATCATGTAGAAACACAATCAAAGTGAAAAATCCTGGTGTCTATTATGTGTTTGATAAAATGCACAAAAGAACTTGTAATTTCTGTTACCCCTTTCTCATTTTTATTAGGATAAGAAAATAAGAGTTTCTGCGATAGTATATATTTTCTTTGAACAAAGGTTTCAGATGCCGATGTTTGAATGTTTGATAAGAATATAAGTTTTATTTTTTCTTTCTGACATATTCCAACTTGCACAGTAGATAGACTTGGTCATGATTATTTGCTCAATGATTGCCATAAAACTTGCTAATTTCATGATATTGAGAGTTGTCTTCTCATTATGTTTGACTACTCAGAAATTCCTTGGCATTTTCTCCCACACTGCTTACAAATTTTAACCTAAAAATCTTCTTGATCGGGTCTGTTTGGATTGTGAATTATTAGAGATATTTTTACTGTAACACTTTTTGTGATGTGATATATGTGAGATAAAAAGATAATTGGGAAGATAAAAAGGTGTATTGAAAATTGTAATGATGATGTAAGCAAATAAATTTGGGGAAATAAAGCCCAATCCAAACAAAATGATTGAGATACATGCAAATCTGAGTCCATTGTACTCTCCCACGTTTTCTTTAGGAGCCAAACAAAAATTAAAAAAGAAACAAACAAACGAACAAAATTTTCCTAGAAATTCATTTCTTACCTCCCTAAGTTCCAATTTCCATACAGCAGGTGATGACTCTGACTTTTGTATTTAGAAACAAAAAAGGGAAATAGTACATTAGAAAAGATGCTAAAATCTATCTATTTCATGACACTACACTCTAGACCTATTCAATGACATTACATATAGTGCTCATAACAATTAGGTTTTTTTTTTCTGATTTATTTATCTTTTTAATAAGGTGAAGATAGAATTTAAAAAAGGAAAAAGGAAAAGAGAGATTTTTTTTTAATTTTAAAGAAAGAAAAAAATTTGAATCGATGACTTCTGATTTCTGAAATTTTAACCTTAGTCACTAAATCAATCAATTTGACGTTTATATTGATAGATAAAATAATCTTACAAACATGAGGTTGTCTAGCTATAGCTAGTGTGAGCTAGTGTTATACACCCTAGAATTTGAAATCCCACCAACCTTCCCATCCTAGGGGCAAAGGGAAAAAAGGAATGAATAAAGCCCAACTTGCCTGCAGCAGCAGTATCTCTTCTTTGATATAAATGTTGAAAGCAATTTTTTTTTTTTTCTAGAAGTAAGTTAGAGGCTTTTTAGAATGAAGAGACACTCCAATCAATAAATGACATCTGATAAATTATTAAGCAGTAACTTGCTCAAAACATGCTTAAAACTTTTCTTTAATCTTCTTTTACCAATTCATGTTCTAAGACAACAACACAACATCAAACATACATATCCCTTCTTATTTTTTGTATCAAATAATACAAAGAAAACATTTTACTGATTCTATACAAGATGACTATGATCACCCACTTGTAATAAAAAAAGGGCATATCTAATTGAAACACTCTAAAATATATATATATATATATATATAATCAAAAAAAAAAGAGACAAACTCCTACATAAAATAACAAATAAAGAAAGCAAATAATTATGAAGAATCTTGATGCATGTCATGATTATGTTGGTTGTTCCAGCAAATTACAATTCTTGATGATGATACACAGGTTGATCTGTACCACCTTTTTTTTTTTTCAGTACAGAGACAACCTTTAATCCCTAATCCCAAAAACATATAGTATTAATTATTACAGCAGGTACAATTTCAAGATCTACAGTTGTGCTTCCTTCTCATATGTTTGACTGTTTTATGATGTTGTGTACATAAAATCTAATGTCTATACTAAAGAGCAGTAACATCAAAATCCAAATACAACATCAACATGGAAAAAAAAAAAAAAGAAGAAGAAAAAGTGGGATGAGTTATAGAACTATTGAAAAAAATGAGAAAAGTACCAGCCCTGGTGATGATTGAAGATTATGCTAATCATGAATCATCACTCTGTATGCTCATTGGTGGCATCAATTTCCTTCTTTACCTTTGATTGGATCCCATAATAACTCAAATACCACTTGACAAACTTCCTCAATCCTGTAGACAAATCTGTGGTGGGCTTGTATCCAAAGTCCTTGTAAGCCAAGCTAACATTAGCATGTGTATAAGGAACGTCACCGTTTCGGGGCATCTTAATAACATGCCTTTTAGCCTTGACATTTAGCAACCCTTCCAATATGGAAACCAATTTCCCCACCGACACCGGCGATGTGTTACCCAAATTGTACACCCTCAATTGCGCTGGCGCCCGCTTCTTCCCGCCGCTCCCGGTGCTCTTCTCCGCCGTGTCGAGCGCCCCGACGCACCCCTTCACTATGTCGTCGATGTAGGTGAAGTCACGCGCCACCTCCTTATCATCTTGCGTGACATACAGATTAATCCCCTTGCCTTGCAATATGTCCTTAGTGAAAAAAAAGTATGCCATGTCTGGCCTACCCCAAGGACCGTAAACAGTAAAAAACCTCAGCCCGGTTAAGGACAGCCCGTAAATATGATTATAAGTATGTGCAATTTCTTCACCGGCTTTCTTGGTGGCAGCATACAGGCTCGCCGGCTGGTCAGTCCTATGCTCCTCGGAGAATGGGACGTTTTTGTTGAGCCCATAAACCGAACTTGACGATGCCCAGACAATTGCCGGCTGTGGATCGGCATTTTTTGCGACCTCTAGCAAATTCACGAACCCGGCAATGTTTGAATTTATATAAGACAAAGGGTTCTGCATTGCATAACGTACACCGGCCTGAGCTGCTAAATGCAGGATATGGGTAAAAGGGACAATGTCAAACAGCTTCTCGAGCAATTCTGCGTCGTTCAAGTCGCCTTCGACGACGAAAATTTGATGCTTGGTGAGCAAATCTCGTCTGGCACGTTTGAGGGATGGGTCGTAGTAGGAGTTGAAGTTGTCAAGGCCTAAGACCCCATCACCTCTTTTTTTCAATGCCAGCGAGCAGTGGAACCCCACGAACCCGGCAGCCCCTGTGACCAGCACGGACAGTCCGTTGGGGCGGCGGGGGGTGGCGGAGTGACGGACTTTCTTCTCCCAGCCAGCTCCGCTGCCGTAGAAGGCGGAGGAGAAGAGGTTGTGGGTAGTGTGGTGGATATGGTGGGGGTTTTCTGAGAGTGGAGGGTAGTTTAAAGTGAAGAAAAGAATAAGAAGGAGAGCTACAAGAAGGGTTACTCTGAAGAGAAGCTTTGAGGATGCAGCTATGAGTTTTGTGCTGTTAACTTTTCTAATGTAGCTGTTGTACCTCTCTAGCTTGGTCGTCTTGCTGAAATCTGGTGGGGATGAAGAAGCCATTGTTGTTGTTGTTGTATAGTACTGCATTGGATTGGATGACAAGAATTCTTGAAGGAATCAAGAAACCAAGTATGGTTTTTTTTTTTTTTCAAAAATATGATTTAAGGTTTTTTTTTCTTTCTTTTTTTTGAAGACTAGAGGGTGTGTTTTTGTTTTGTGAGACCCCCTAGCTAGAAGAGTGTGGAGATAGGTTGATTATAAAGGGATTTTTTGGGTTGGGGAGGGGGGGGGGGGGAATGTGGGGATAGGATAATGATATAGTGGGAAAGGAAGGGGGAAGGACAAAGAAAAAGATAGGTTGGTGTTGGTTGGAGGCCACTTTCTTTTTTTGTGTAATTTAACTAGCGTCACTCGCTTACAGATGGAAAGAAGAAGAGGGAATGGGGACTGGCTGGCGGGGAGTTGTGGGGGTAGGGGGTTGCGGGGGGGGGGGGGGGGGGGGGATGATGGGATTTAGTGCCCCTGGGATTTTAAATTATTACAGATTGGTCCAAGGCATTTATGTAATGAAAAATGCCAGCTGTGAAAGAAATTGGAAAATCTGAAAACCATGTGAGACACACGTGTACGAATGCTAACAAGTTTCTTTTGTTCAAAAACTATGCAAAAAAAAAAAAAAAACAAGTGAAATATGTACTTACTTAGTACAAAGTGCAACAATGGGGGGATGATCCTCAATGAAAAGGTTCTCCTATTTGTTTTGACAAGTGTCTTAGTTTAAGTTTTACATCTTGATGTACAAAATGAACGAAATAAAACATGTTCGAGTTACTTAGTCTATAAATATCGTATGACAAGAAAGATTAATACGTGAGTGTGTGAATTTAGCCTCTCTCGACAGATCTTAATTTTAATCCAAAATCCCAACTAAATTTTAACGTCTTTTTTTTTTTGAAGATTAAAAAAAAAATTATGAACATCAACAAATATATGCATATGTCCAATTGATAGTAGGTTAGCAAAGAGGGACCCCATTAGCTTGAGGGGAGACATAAAGAGGAAAAATAGTGTCAAATTGTGCAAGGTTGTTGCAGAGAAGAAATTTTAGGGTTCAAATGGAGAAAATAAAGGAAATCCCACATGGGATTGATTGACATGTCTAATAAATTGTTCTACTGCATGGTCAAAGCGGTCTTCATAGTGTAATGGAATCTTAAAAAGATAGTTGTATTGTATATTTTTTTTTTCTACTCATATTATTGTTTGGCTGTTAAATACGACCGTCTGTCACCGACATAGCACATAGAATTTTAAGGTGACTTACTTTTGTCTTGATTCCAGCATCTTGATGTAAAATTATATGCTTCTTCAGCCAATAATAAACTGATTTGGGCTTGCATGGGTATTTATTGAAGTAGATCTTAGCTCAGACACAGTAGAAGTTCCTTCGTTTTGTTGTCACTTGCAATTTTCCTCGGAAGTTGCTGCATGCACTCTATATATATATATATATAAAACCCATTCTGATCTGACTCATCCATGTTTCAAATTGCAGAATTTCATGCCAAAGGTGAAAGATGTACCCCAAAATAATAAAGAAAAAGAAAGATATAGTTTTATAATATAGAATTGTACTCTGGCCAACCTTTTCTTTCATCCAATTTGGCTTAATTTTGGGTGGGGGCTAGTTTGGGGTGATTGGAAATGCAATTGATAAATCTTGTCAATGGCTTATGGTCCGATTAAATTACTCATGCATGCAAAAACAAAACCAAATAGCGTTAGGCCGATTGAGGGCTTCAGCCTAATCGTCCTTCCATCATCGATACATTTTCTAATAGCCAATTGAACTTTCTGAAGATTTGATAGTTCAAAAAGATTGACTACAATCCTTTTCGTTATCAACTCACATGCATCTATTAACTTAAAAATTGTTATTAATTATATTATGTTTTGTAACTAACTGTTTAGAAGAGTATTCAAACTCATCATATATCCTAAACAAGCCAACTTAAGCAACCATCATTGACTTAATATTAATTTTGGATGAGTCAAGTGTGGTGGTGTTCATGTTCTTCCAATTGGTAGTAATATTGAAGCTTGTCCTTTTGAAGACTCTAATTAAGATGATGCTTCGTCTCGTCTGCCAATGCCAAATTAAACAATTAGCTTTAGCTCATATTCATTGACTTATTAGGATTACTTAAAGATCATATTATATGAAATTTGGTATTAATTGACCTCAAATTACGTCGTAGATTCAGTTAGCAAGGTAGAGTATATTATATGAAATTTGCTATTAATTTACCTCGACTTTTATAGAACGACAAGATTTTACACTATTAATCTTTCTAAGACGATCTTTATTCAAAACCGACAGTGCTGTATAAAGCTCAACTTGTAGTTTTTTTTTAAAATTTGAAATTGTTTCTCCTCTCTAGTCTTGAGCGTGTATTCTCTAATTTTCGAAACAAATTCTTTAATTATGTTTACCCTCAAAATTCTCTAATTTTCCACTTAACTTCTAATACTTCATAAGTTAGAAGCTCATGTAATTATAGAAAAACTTGATGAGGGAAGAGTGAGTGAGTCATATTGTACAAGGCAAGGCAAATGTTGATTTCTTCTGCCCTATCTTCCTTCCTTCCTTCCCCCAACCACAACATGGCAATTAATGTAGTTTGAACTCAACCACCATCACACATTTCAAGTGTAGAAAAGAAAATGAAAAGAAGATAATCCTTTATTATACATTGAAAATTTTTACTAGCATTAGGTTAGAAGGACTACATAGCACTAATCAACCCATAAGAGGGCATATATATATATATGTAATGTGATTTTTGAATGAAGTAAAGTTATGTCTATATCATGCAATGGACCAGCAACCTTTCTTGTTGTCAAGATGCAATAAGAGATCTTTCTTATCACCTATGAGTACAAATTGGAAAACATATTGGCTAAATTACCTAACTTGTTAATTAACAGCATCAATATTTAAGTCCTATTAATCATGGAGTCTTTTAATAAGTTTTGGTGGTCTCTCTACAATGGCCCACTTAATTATGGCTGCAAAACTTGTTCAAAAGTAAATTCCCACATAATTGATTTTTGGTCAAGAAATTTATCCAAACCGATCCGGAATTAATTGATTTTTGGTCAAGAAATTTATACAAAATCACGTAGGATTCTTTAAAGGTGGGACCAAAATGTTGTTTACTTGCGTCGGTGTCGTTGACGGGAGACCTTCGCCGCCGGAGAAGGAATGGTACAGGAAGTTTCCTTTCCAACCGATCAGTTTTTCCTTCCCCATAATTTCTGCCTATGTCTCTCTCTCTATTCACATGGAAGAGAGAGAAAAACAGCAATTTGTTTTTCTAATCATTTTGATGCAAGATTTTCGTGCATATTATTTTATATTTGATTTAGATATTTGTATTTTAGGGAAGGCTCTGGAAGACCCCATTCATCCTCAAAATCATCATATTTTATTTTAAGTTAAAATAAGTATCTACTTTTGGTTGTCTTACATTACTTGTGCGGATGAATATTTTTGTTAGAAATCAATTCCTTTGATTTTCAATTAATACATTTGAAAACTCGATTATAATAGATAGGGGCGTGGGTTGGATCTCTTTAATCTAGATCCATAACCATTAAATCTAATTAGATCTAAATTCAGATTCAAACTCTTATGGGTTCAAAAAAGAAAATTTAGACCCAAACTCTCATGGATTTTTATTTTCTCTTTTTCTTTTAATAGTATAAGTGGAAGTGGTGGAATCCGAGATCTTTCACTTACACTCCCCGTCTCCGAACCACCCAACTTATCTTTCTCCCTGACCCTAATGAATTTTAGTATCCAATAGGTATCCATGAGTATTTTTCTCAACATACAGTGGAGAACTAAAGTAAAAATGTTAAAAATATATAAAGTTTAAAAATAACGTAAATGCTATCTAATTTTTGTTTTCAAGTAATAATATTAACATTCAAAAAGTTGAATGCAGTGTTATGAATTCAGAGAAAGAACTATTATCAACTAATTTTATTTATTTCAAAAGCTCTATTTGTGTGCGTGTGTGATTTGAATTTGAATCTAGGTATAGATCATATAAAACCAAAACCATATTCAGATTCATGCTTCTCTAACAGGATCTAGGTAGTGTCTAGGTTAGAAAAATTAAATTCAAACCCATAAAAGATATGCTAGGTCTGGGTTAGATCGAGATAAGAATCGATTCATTGACATGCCTAACAATAATCATTGAACAAGGACTATTTTAATCTAAATGGACCTTAAAACATTTAATATAAGTTAAAATAAAATCTATCCTTAATTTTTCTTTTTCATTTTTAGTTCTTGCCTTTCAATATCTTTAAGTTGAAAGACGTGTCAACTTTTGGTTTGATAGGGGGCAATTACTTGTGTGGAGTGTCTAGCTATTTTTGTTTGAAATCGTGATCCTTCAATTTTCTATTATTGCATTTGAAAGCTCGATCTCAATTTTCATCGCATGAGGTCCAGTTTTAATTTAATCGCAGATCTAGCTGTATGCCTTGAATTAGATTTGTTCTTGAAATATGAAAAATATGAGTACTAATCCATTAAATGACTAAATAATTAAAAGATCACTAGTATTCAAGTACTTTTATGCCATCCTATATACGCAATACCAGCTAGTTCTAAAGAAGAATACTTTAAAAACTCAATTAAGAATAATGGTATCTAGGGGAGATGGGGTTCTTGCACAAACAAGAAAACGTACGTATAGGACACAATTTTGCCTATAATACACCAAAGGTCCTAAAACTTATTGTTTCATGGTTATCACTTCCCCTAAGAAAATGATGGGTTATTAACTTATCTTACACCCTTTTATATTTTTCATATTTGGTCCTTTTCGTTCCTTGTTATATTTTTTATTTTTTACAATCTTCATTGCGTGATGCCTGTTGTTCCTTTTTTTTTTTTGGTAAGTCAGAGGTTTTAAATTCAAAATCTTCTACTTACAATCGCCCCTACATTATCACCCAACTCAACTCTTCTCCCACGTGATGCTAGTTTACCGAATCATAAACATACAGATTGGAATATTTTTAACAAGTTAGTGAGTCTTAAACCTGAATCAGTTTTTTTCCCTTCTTTTTGTGTGTTTTTCTTTATTATAATGAATGATGGTGTTTCTTATTTTGTACTTTCTTCTGTAACATTTGTATGCAAT